AACTATTGAAAAAAGAGATCAGATTAGTCTGGCATGACTTGTTTTTGATAAATCCATGTTGACTATTAGCGAAGACCGCATTTATTTCTAAGTGTTTGCAGACCACTTCCTTAACAATCTTTTCCAGAATTTTGCCTGGAATCGACGTGAGGCTAACCGGACGGTAATTGTTTGGGTCATCCTTTTTTCCCTTCTTGAAGACTGGGACCACATTGGCCCTCCTCCAGTCTGCTGGAACTTCTCCCGTTCTCCAAGAACTCTCAAAGATGATTGCCAATGGTTCCGAAATGACTTCCGCTAGTTCCTTCAGTACTCTTGAGTGTATTTGATCTGGCCCTGGGGACTTGAACTCGTTTAGAGTGGCCAGGTATTCCTGGACGACTTGTTTCCCAATTTGGGGTTGGATGTCCTCTAATCCCTCATCCACTCCATCTTGCTGAGGTTGAAGATAACTTTCTTTTTGTGAGAAGACCGAGGCAAAGAAGGCATTAAGTAGTTCTGCCTTTTCCCTACCCCCTGTCAGCATTGCCCCATCTTCTCCTCGAATAGGCCCTATCGCCTCCTTGTTTTTCCTTTTTCTACTGACATAAGTAAAAAAGCTCTTTTTATTGTTTTTAATGTCCCTGGCAAGCCTGAGCTCGTTTTGTGCTTTAGCCTTGCGGACCTTTTCCCTACAGGTGTTGGCTATTTGTTTGAATTCTTCTTTGGTGATTTCTCCCTTTTTCCACTTCTTGTGCATGTCTCTTTTGTGTTTTAGCACAGTTAGGAGTTCTTTGGACATCCATACTGGCTTCTTTGCACTTGTCCTATTTTTTCTCTTTGTTGGCACAGTTTGCAATTGTGCCTTGAGTATTTCACTCTTGAGAAATTCCCATCCATCCGTAACTCCCTTGTCTTTTAGTATCTGTGTCCACGGAATGCTGCTCAATGTTTTCTTCATTTTTTGGAAATCGGCTCTCCTAAAGTCCAAAATGTGGGTTTGACTTGTCTTAGTTTCTGCCTTCCTTTGTACCTCAAATTGCAGGAGCACATGGTCACTTGCCCCTAAGGATCCGACCACTTCAACCGCATCGATCAGGTCCTCCGCATTTGTTAGGATGAGATCAAGAGTAGCCAACCCCCTTGTTGCCTCTTCTACCTTCTGGACCATGAAATTGTCTGTAAGGCAAGCAAGGAATTTGTTGGACCTTGTACACTCTTGGCCGAGTTTGTTTTCCAGCAAATATCAGGATAGTTGAAATTGCCCATGACTACTACATCTTTTCTCTGTGCCTGTTTTGTCAACTGTTAGCAGAAGACTTCATCAAGTTCTTCCTCCTGGCTTGGTCATCTGTAGTAGACGCCTACAATGACATCTTTTTGAGTCCCTGTTCCCTTGATTCTTATCCAGATGTTTTCAAGCTGGTTTCCCGGATTGCTCTCTTGCATCTCTTCTGCAGCAGCACAGTTTTTGACATATAAGGCTACTCCGCCTC